CAAACCTTCCAACATAGCATCAGTATCCATATCCTTTTTAAAAATCTGCACTAAAACCTTCGCATCTGTTTTAGTCTCAATGGGTTGAATGCCTCTCACAACACATTCCTGCAGCGCTGCCCTAACTGTAGTGACCTTCGCCATTGCTGCATTTTGAAAGTACAGGTTCCCAGCACCGCTAGCAGAGTGCATAATGCCAGCAAAATCCCAGATTACCCATCGTATTCCACCCCCTTTTTACTTTTGATTCCAGGCTGCATCACAGTTCACTTTTAACGTCACATACTTAGGTCTTTCCCATCTCATGATCTTGCCCGCAAACTTCAGCTCAGCAGCTTGTGTTTTAGTTTCCCGAGGCTCATTTAGTTCCTTAAAAGCCTCCTGTAACACAAACAGTTGATGAAAACTGACCACACGATATACGATACGATTCAACACTAGTACAAAAACATGTTTGCGTGACGGAAACTTGCGCGACGCAGCAAATTTTGTCGCGCAAAGCATGTTTGCGCGACGTTAAATTCAAAACGTCGCGCAAAGTAGCTTTGCGCGACAACACTTTGCGCGACTAAGGAATGTGTCGCGCAATGCGATTTTGTGCGATGAAGGTGCACATACGTCGCGCAAAACATCCTTGCGCGACGCATTCCTTCGTCGCGCAAAGTGTTGTCGCGCAAAGCTACTTTGCGCGACTTTGGCTACGTCGCGCAAGATATTGACGCCAAGCCAAGAATGTTTTACCACTTTTTTCCCCAACTTTAGCTCTAAAAAATCATCAAAATCAGAGTTAAAACTATTGTTAAATCGTGCTTTTTTGTTTATAACCGTCGAAAAGTTTTATCCCGTTACTTGATCTCTGAATGTTTGTTTTTTAAGATTTTTTTGGCTTACGCGATCTCGGAGTATATACAAACATTTGACGGTTTGATCGTTGAAACTAGTTTCATAGAATGTGTTTCCCATCAAGTTCAATGGTATATATATTTAGAAAGTATATTTTAATTTATTTATCTTGTACTCATAAACAAAAGGACAAAAGAAAAGCCAAAAAAAAAAAAAAAAGCACTTTGCGCGACGTGGGTACACCTGCGTCGCGCAAATCTGTTTTGCACGACGCAGGTGTACCCACGTCGCGCAAAGTGTTTTTTTTTTTTTTTTGGCTTTTCTTTTGGGTTCTTGTATTGCTTTTTCTTTTGTGGTATCTACTTGTGTAAATGTTTTAAATTGACGATCGAATTACTTCATTGTATTCATATAGGGTTAAAGAGTGTAGCTCTAAAAAATCATCAAAATCGGAGTTACAACTACCGTTAAATAGTACTTTTTCGTTTATAACCGTCGAAAAGTTTTGTCACGTTACTTGATTTCTGAATGTTTGTTTTTTGTGATTTTTGGCATATGCGATCTCGAAGCATATACAAACAAGTTTGACGGTTGGATCGTTAAAACTAGTTTCGTAGAATGCGTATCGCATCAAAACAATAGATTCACTAACACTTGGAGTTTATTAATACTTCCATTAGGTATAACATAAGATTTTGTGGTATCCACTTGTATAAATGTTTTAAATGGACGATCAAATTATTTCATTGTATTCATATAGGGTTAAGGAGTGTAGCTGTAAAAAAAATAATCAAAATCGGAGTTAAAATAACCGTTAAATTGTTATTTTTCATTTATAGCCGTCGAAAAGGTTTGTCTCGTTACTTGATATCTAAATGTTTGTTTTTTGTGATTTTTGGCATATGCGATCTCGAAGCATATACAAACAAGTTTGACGGTTGGATCGTTGAAACTAGTTTCGTAGAATGCGTATCGCATCAAAACAGTAGATTCATTAACACTTGAAGTTTATTTATACTTCCATTAAGTATAACATAAGATTTTGTGGTATCTACTTGTGTAAATGTTTTAAATGGACGATCGAATTACTTCATTGTATTCATATAGGGTTAAGGAGTGTAACTGTAAAAAAGTATCAAGATCGGAGTTAAAATAACCGTTAAATCGTGATTTTTCGTTTATAGCCGTCGAAAAGGTTTGTCTTGTTACTTGATATCTGAATGTTTGGTTTTTGTGATTTTTGGCATATGCGATCTTGAAGCATATACAAACAAGTTTGATGGTTGGATCGTTGAAACTAGTTTCGTAGAATGCATATCGCATCAAAACAATAGATTCATTAACACTTAGAATTTATTTATACTTCCATCAAGTATAATATAAGATTTTGTGGTATCCACTTGTGTAAATGTTTTAAATGGACGATCGAATTACTTCATTGTATTCATATAGGGTTAAGGAGTGTAGCTGTAAAAAATCATCAAAATCGGAGTTAAAACAACCGTTAAATCGTGATTTTTCGTTTATAATCGTAGAAAAGTTTTGTCCCGTTACTTGATCTCTAAATGTTTGTTTGTTGTGATTGTTGGCATATGAGATCTTGAAGTATATACAAACAAGTTTGATGGTTGGATCGTTGAAATTAGTTTTGTGGAATGTGTATCCTATCAAAATGATAGATTTTAATAGAATTGTGACAAAAACATTTTTTTGCGCGACGCAAGAAATTTCGTCGCGCAAAGTATGTTTGCGCAACGATAAGTATACAACGTCGCGCAAATGGCATTTGCGCGACGAAGGCCTGCGTCGCGCAAAGTGCAAAACAGCTTTGCGCGACGCATGCCTTCGTCGCGCAAAGTGCCAAACGTCGTGCAAGATTTGGCGCCAAACAAAGAATGATTTACCGCTTTTTTTCCCAACTTTTGCGCAACGCAGGTGCACCTACGTCGCGCAAACCCTCTTTGCGCGACGCATAGCTTCGTCGCGCAAAGGCCGTTTGCGAGACGGTTTATGCGTCGTGCAAGATTTTGGCGCCAAACGAAGAATTCTTTACCGCTTTTTTCCCAACTTTGCGCGACGCAGGTGCACCTACATCGTGCAAAGCTGTTTTGCGCGACGTAGGTGGCGTCGCGCAAAGCCAACGACTTTTTTTTCTGATATAACCACAAATAGAGGTCTTTTTCTTCACACTCAACCTCTCTCTTTCAGATTCTCTATATCTCTCAACCCTCACCATCTTCAACTTCAGGTATTGTATTTATTTGATGAATTAATTAACTATTTGTTGATTACATTTATGTTTGGATTTTTTTATTTTTGTGTATTTATGTTTTTCTTTAATTATCTTTGTCAATGCTTATTTTTAACAAGTTGAGTTTTGGTTTTGAACAATTGAATAAGTAGAATGAATGAGTAGGAGTATTGAGGATTTTGATAGGTTTAGGGAAACAAAAGCTAAGAAATTGCAAACTACTTAGTTAACTTGATCTAATTTAGGGATAGGTTGATGTGTGCTAAAAAATGGATGGATTTCATTTCTCACCAAATTGGGAGGAGGAAACTAGAATGTTAGAGATTTAGAGAAGAAGCCAGTTTACAACTTTGTCAAACCACTGTTCTATTACATGGTTAGTAATAATTTTAGGTGTAGTCTCTACACTTTACGATTTAGAATATATGGTCTCATCATATAGGTCCTTAAAAAATAATTTTAAGGCAGGAGTGGAAGGCATAAACAAGAAGTTAAAAAGTTAATACTGTGGAACATAGAAATTTTGGGTGATGTCAATATGGAATTGTCCTATTTTTTGGTTTAGAAGGATTAGTAGTTTGTAGCTATTTTATTTAGTTTCATTAATTATTGTGATTTAATTTATTTGTATGCACATATTTTTGTACATCAAGTACAAAATTGTTTTGTGTTTTACGAAGTTAATACTACTTAACTTCGTACACTTATTTCAAGAAAAGCTTAGTTTTCCGTTTGAGAATTAGTTGGATTTCGTGTATGGATGCGAAAGCATGACTGCGGTCCAATTAATTCTTGAATTGTCCCATTTTTTGGACAGTTTGGGAATGCATAGTTATGTGTTGTAGTTTGCGGTTCATGGATTAGGTTTCGATAGTGCAAATTTTGGTAACATTTCTTGATGTTCTTCGAGTACACGGTGGATATTATGTATCTACGGCGTGCACTTGAAGAACTGTAAGGAGATGCTGCCGAAATTAGCCCACATCGAAATTTAATCCATTGGAATCGTAAATTACGGCACATAACTGTGCATTCTTGAATGGGATAGGGCCCTTACCGGAGGAATAAGGTGACAAGACAATAGTTGAAGTTGTTGTAATTCTTGTATTTTTATTGGAATTGCAAACAAAATGGACAGACAGTGGATACATAATCATAATAGATGTGCTGTTGAGTACTTGGATGGAATAAACGAGTTCATTGAATTCGCAACTAGACATAACCGAGGTTCAACTCCTATCCGATGTCCATGTAGGAGGTGTAACAACTCAATGTGGGAGACATTGGAAAATGTTCGATTTCATTTAGTAAGAAATGGGATGATGGAGACCTATACTACTTGGTATCATCATGGAGAACGATTAGACCAAGCTTCGTCTTCATACGTGACATGAGTGGAGACTGTTGAATCTAATGTGGAGCCTAGTGAACAAGTTATGAATATTCTAAATGATGTTTATCCATATGCCTCGAGCAACACCAATGAGGAAGGGGGAGATGAAGGACATCCAACCATGGATAGTGAGGCATTCAAAAACTATGAAACACTATTGAAAAATGCCAAGCAAGAATTATATCCGGGTTGCGAGAACTTTTCGGTGCTCACGGCAATTGTGGAGTTGATGCATGGCAAGATCAAGTTTCGTTTGTCAAACAAATGTTTTGATTACTTTTTGGGAGTTATGAAGAGGATGCTTCCAAAGGAGAATTGCTTACCTGAAGATCATAAAAGTGCCCAAAAAATGTTGAAGGGTCTCGGATTGGGGTATGAAAAAATTCACACATGTGTAAATAATTGTATATTGTTCTATAAGGAGACAACCAGTTGGATAAGTGCCTTATCTGCAATGAGCCTAGGTTTAAAATGACATCACAAAATAGAAAGACCAAGATTCCACAAAAAGTAATGCGTTATCTTCCATTGAAGCCTAGGTTGCAACGATTGTACATGTCGATGCATACCGCAACAGACATGAGATGGCATAAAGAAGGACGGGTAAATGATGATGTTATGAGGCATCCTGCAGATGGAGAGGCATGGAAAGAATTTGATCGGATGTACCCTGATTTTGCAGCTGACCCCCGCAACGTCAGATTAGGACTTGCCACTGACGGATTTAATCCGTTCGGGGTTTTAAACCAAATCCATAGCACTTGGCCGGTCGTCGTGTTTCCTTATAATCTGCCGCCTTGGAAGTGCATGAAAAAAGAATACATGATGTTGACTCTATTAATTACTGAAGATCCAGGAAAGTCCATTGATGTTTATTTGCGGCCGTTGGTTGATGAGCTAAAAGATTTATGGGAAAACGGTGTTCGTACATACGATAAGTATACTGGGCAGATGTTCACCATGCGAGCGGCAGTGATGTGGACAGTAAACGATTTTCCCGCATATGTAATGGTTTCTGGTTGGATGACTAAGGGTTATTTGGCATGTCCAATATGCAAGGAGAATGTAACATCGTCTTGGCATGCGAGAAAAGTTTGTTATCTTGGTCATCGTAGATGGCTCCCTTGGGACAACGAGTGGCGTCAAAATGATAAAGCCTTCCACGGTACAAAAGAAACTCGGCCAAGACCAAGAGAATGGTCCGGAGATGAGATTTTGGATCAGTTAAACCGTTTGGAATTTGGTCATTTTGGCAAAGGGGTCAATAAGCCCAGACCACCTATACATCTGAACTGGACGCACAAGAGTATGTTATTTGAGCTCCCGTACTGGTCAAAGTTAAAATTGAGACACAACCTCGATGTTATGCATATTGAGAAAAATGTGTTTGATACTTTGGTCGGGACAATTCTAGACATTGAAGGAAAAACGAAGGACACGATCGAAGCTCGCCTCGATTTGGAACGAATGGGCATTAGGTCATCCTTGTGGATGAAGAAAGTCGGTGGTACATTGAAGAAAGGCCATCCTTTTTTTACAGTGAAGCCGAATGGGAAGAAAGAGTTTTTCAACTTTATTTCTTCTGTAAAGTTTCCAGATGGGTATGCTTCTAATATCTCACGTTGTGTGAATGTGCGGGGGTGTAAATTTTCAAACATGAAGAGTCATGATTGTCATGTGATACTCCAACGCCTTCTTCCGATTGGTATTCGACACTTATTGCCTCTTGATGTGGTTAAACCAATCGTGTTGTTGTCGAGATTTTTTTCGCAGCTGACTGCAAGGTGTTTACGGAAGTCAGATGTGAAACAATTGCAGGATGACATTGTGAACGTCTTATGCAAGTTCGAACAGATATTTCCCCCAGCTTTCTTTACAAGTATGATTCACGTGATGATTCACTTGCCAAATGAGACATTGCTTGCCGGACCAGTGAATTGTCGATGGATGTATCCAATAGAAAGGTACTTAATTAAGCGTATATATATAACAGATTCATGATAAATGAACACTTTGAATAATTTGTAGCATACCTTTTATTTGTGTAGATATCTTGGTGAGTTGAAAAAGTGTGTCCGAAACAAGGCAAAGCCCGAAGGATCACTTGTGGAGTCATGGGTCGCATATGAGTCACTTACTTTTTGTGCAATGTATCTTCAAGATGTTGAGACAACTTTCAATCGTCCTCAACGCAATAATGACGGTGGTGTTAGAAAAGAGAAATTGTCTGTTTTTGCCCAAATTGCGCGACCATTTGGCGATCCTGTAAAAGGCGAATCGTTTACCAAAAATGACATGGAGGTAGCGCATTGGTTCATACTCAACAATTGTGACGAGGCTTTGCCATACCTTGAAGAGCATGAAAAGTTGATGAAGCGGGAACATCCTTCACATTTATATGCCAAGAAGCACCGTGACTTGTTTCCTTCATGGTTTCACGCACATGTAAGTTGTATGTGATTTGAATAGAGCATATTTTCCAACTTGTTCATACCCGTCTTTAAATTTGGTTACACTAATAGGTTAACTTTTTGTATATGTTATATTAGATGAACAAATTGAAGGAATTGAATTCACCCTCTTACAATGAAGAATTATATAACTTGGCGAGAGGACCGCTTCACGTTGAATTGTTCTCAGGTTGTCATGTCAACGGGATCAAGTTCTTGGGGGCAACACGTGATGACAAGTCGTGTACTCAAAATAGTGGTGTCCATGTCCCGGGTGCGGGCGATAGTGAAGACATTGACTTTTATGGCAAACTAACTAGTGTAGTACAATTGCTTTACAAAGATAGGTGTCAAGTGATACTGTTTAAGTGTCTTTGGTTTGATACAAATCCACATAACCGAACGAGTGTTAAGCGAGACCATGGTTTACTATCAGTAAACACTACGAGACATTGGTACGATGAAGACCCTTACATTTTGGCAACTATGGCGAAACAAATAGTATATCTAGATGACCCTAAAGCCGGAAATGGCTGGAAAGTTGTTCAGAAGATTGATCGAAGAGGGCTATATGATATTCCGGAACTAGATCATGATGGCAACGACGACAACATCGCTGACCAACAGTTATCATCTTCGATAGAAATTGGTGAAGAAACACTCCAGGATACTAATATTGTCCAAGAACTGTTTGACATAGATGGAGTTCCTGAATTCATAATATCAATTGACCTTGGTGATCTGCCTCAATACAATGCACCGGAAGAGGCAAATGAAGATGAGGACGAATGGGAATCCGGAAATGATAGTAGTGAGGATAGCGAGATTTATTATTGTAGTTCAGATGAGGATTAATATAAACTTCAAAGGGAAAAAGCAGGAGGCTGAGGGTTTAACACCGCTTTGCATCTACCCACACTAATATTCCCAACAAATCGTCGTTTTATGATAGCCGTAAGTTTTATGTTTTATGTTAGCTTTGTATTTGTTTTACTCTTAGTTGCATTGGATAATTGTGTTATTTTGATACCCGATTTATTTCTTTCTAGACTGTACTAAAAACATAAAGATACGATGGTCCAAGAAAAATTGAAGGATGAAAAATAGTTTACAGCTTGAATTTTATGATAGCCGTAAGTTTTATGTTTCATGTTAGACATTTACAGCTTGAATTTTCCACTAGTTTGCTCGTGTCACATCATATTGGTGTCTGATGGCTTTCGCTTGCAAGAAAGCCACTACCATGCTTGCTTCTTTTATTCCGATATCGCAAGATGATTTACTATGATTATCATTGTAACAAAGAAAAAATTATGTTCATAAGATGTGCATTTTTCTTTTCGAATTTGGTAGATAACATGTAAGCAAATGCGTTCGCTTGTACACTATGTTTGGTCTTTCGGATTTGGTAGATAAAAAGATTTGTTTTCTGTTTAAAATTTCAAAGTTCTCATCTTGCTCCTGCGAATTATATTCTGTTGTAATTCGTTTCCAAGAGTTCTGATTGGTTTCCCCTGCATCAGCTTTAGGACCATCATTCCGGTTGGATGTTCAAAAGCAGATATAAATTTTGTGGTTTACAGTCTGATTGATTTATTTGCGTATGTAATATCCCGGTGGTTTATTCTTTATGCATCTCATTCAATACAAATCTGTATGTCAAGGAAGCATTTACGTATTTTGATCAAAATGTACATTTTGTTTGGCTTGCAGTCCATGATGCACAGGTAAGATGTTTGATTTGGCGGAGAGGGAAGGTGCCGAAGCCCAGTTTGTATCATGATCGAGCCAAGGGTTCCATCGGGAAGCATGAGAGCCAACTTAATTTCACTGTAATCACTAGAAAATAATGCAGAATGGTATAAAGTTGGGTAAGAAGGTAGAAAGCTGTGTATCTTCTTCTCTTCGTCCTTGTACACTAATTGGCTGCTATGAATTATTAGTCTCTCCGAGGCCATGAAAATGTAAGAACAGCCAAATGCCTGTGATGAAATTCGGGAAAATTTTCCGAGTCTTCTTGTTAACAAAATATCTCTCTTGCATGTTCACTTACTATTTTTCATCCTTCAATTTTTCTTGGACAGGGGATGTATGGTTATCCAATTGAGATTCAAGCACTCTTCTGCCTACGTCCCTTTGCGATGTTGAGGAACGAATTACCGGTGCTATGTATGCACTATGCAGTGGTCCTAGATTCCACTCCGAAAAGGTGGTATGTCTGTGAGAAAGTTTGAATGCTACTATTATTTTGTCAAAAAAAATAGAAAAATCGGAAATAAAAAAATATTTAAAAAGCTAAAAAAAAGAAGACGTGAGTGAAAAAAATAAAGGTGGTGTTTCGTTTTCAGACCGTATGATTCCCCCACTTTCTCAGTAACCTCTCTCAGTTAACCGTTTCTTCCCTAAAAAAGAGATCAATTTCATACCCACTACAATTGCACGTTTAAATAAAAAAGATTAGTTGACCTCCTCGGCCTAAATCTCATCCTTTTCTCCCATTTGCTCAAAACAAAAAGTGGTGTCATTCATATCTTTTTCTCTAATTCAATGCTCTAAATTGTAGGTTTGTGATTTTTATTTATTTGTTCTCTTATCTTCTACTGATGTGGTTCTGTGAAGGTGTGGCGAGGTTTTGCCGGGCGAAGTCAGCGTTCTAGAGTGACGAAGTGAAGTTGATGGTTGCGGCGGAGGAAGGATACTCTGGTTCTTGGCAGTGGGAAAGACTTGAGGAGTTTTAGAGAGATGAGTTAGTGAAGGTTGATGGCGAGGGGCAGTGTGTTATGAAAGATCATGGGTATTTGGGTATGTTTAGCCTTAGCTCCATGCCTTAAATTCGAGTCTTGTGATTTCATTTGTTGGAGAAAGTTTAAAGCTTTATATTGCCAATGGTTGTGTAGTTTTCTTCAATTTCTATGGTTGTGATGTTACAGAAATAATGAGTTTATGTTCAAATTTTCCAAGACTTTACAGGTAACCAAATTGACCCTTATAATCTTTCAAGTTGCCATTGCATTAAGAACCAAACAAAGAGTACGAAGAAAAAGCAGAGCAGTCATCCATGTATTTGTTTATCATAAATGGTGGATTTCTAACGTATGTGTGGATTACATCCTCAGAAGTCAACAAGCCCAAAGGCATATTGGAAATCTGTAGAATTAGCCAACATTTCATATTCGTATGGTCAATTGGTGGGTTTCGAAGTGAGTATGGACTTCCAACTCTAATGTTTTTGTTTGACTTATTCATTTCACTAACAAAACAAAAATCAATGTGGTGAATATTGCAGTGTACTGATAGTTGTCTTATAAAATTTACTTAGTTTTTCTTCCTCAGTTGACTTCAGTCAACAACCTTCTATTGACAACCTTAAATTGGTTGAATAGGTTCTAGCAACTTTAAATTGGGTTACAAAAAATATGAATTGATGTTATAACGAACCATAGCCAAGCTTTTTCAAACGAAATTTGTATGCCTTTTGAAGTTTTTGTAGTAAAGATGTCTTTATGCATGCATAATTGTGGAGCGGAAAAAAGAACTATGTATGTTACGCGTATTGCACCGTGATGTAAAAAAGACATTTCGCACGCGCAAGGCATGAAGAACACGTATGAATTTTTTTGTTATGTAGTGATGTCCTTTTGTTATTGCCTAATCACTTGTTCTTGTAACAATCATATTGTTTATCCAATGATGGACCCTGAATTTCAAAGTTGTCTGAGCTAAATTTACCTTACGTACAATCAAGATATAAAGGAGAGGAAATTACTTTGTCACGGCTTGAACTGAAGGTTTCTCTATTAAGTTACTTCTCGTTATTTAGTTAAGTTACTTTCCAACCATTTGCGTTTCAAATCCTCTTCCTCCTCTTAGTCTAGTTTAAAGCAATGTCACTTGTAATAAAGAACAATATAAAACCCAATTAGTCAATATTTATGACATGTTTACTTCAAGTAAAGATACATAAACCGTTGGAGCAAGGGAATAAGCAAAATAAATCTGTTCAACTACGAATAAGCAAAATAAATCTGTTCAACTATTGCAGTAGTTGTCCACACCTAAACGGATTTCATTTGCATTAAAACAACAAAATTTAAAAAATTAGAATGATTTGAATTCTCATATACATGTCATTAACTCCAAGGGGTTAGAGAGAGATTTGGTTTCTGGTTGTAGTGAATTATCTCATAGCCCTATATGAAATAAAGTTGAGTGAGCAATTTGCGAAAACTTAGAACAAACACAATTGGTTCCGTATGCTTCATCAAGCACAAGGGCAATGCAAAAGAAAGCAAAAGGAAGAGGGAAAAAAATAAATAAATAAATAAAAAATTTGGCGGTACCATAACAAACAATAGGCGCTTGTTTTAAAATTTTCAAGAGTTTCCGTAAACCTCACATCCCTATTTCCACCCTCTTTCCCATGCAACTCTCAATTCCCATAGATGACCTCTCTATTTCCCATATATCTCTCTTCCCTCTCACAAGCTTTCCCGTAGATAACCTCTCACTTCCCTATTTCCCATAGACCTTTCTTCCCTCTTGCGTGCTCATCTCTCCCTCTTCATTTCCCGTAGATCTCTCTTCCTTCTCACAAGCTTTTGTCTTCAAAATCTCGAATCCAACGCGAATCTCGAAGCCGACGCGAATTAAGTCCCAAAATCAAGGTAAGGGTTTCTGATTTTCAATGGGTTTTTGTTATTTAGGCTCAAATTGCATGCTATTTAGGATTTCTGATAAAATTAGATGTTGGTTCTAGTTTGCAGAGGGGTTGATGGGTTGCAGGTAGAGAGAGGGATCTACGGGAGGGAAGAGAAGTCTACTAGCGCAGCGCCTCAACTGAAGGTCCTTCTTCTTCTTCCTCTTCATTCTTTTGGCCCTAAACTCCAATTTTTGTTTTGTTATATGCAAACAGGATTTCTGTAAACAGGGGTTATCTAATCGAGAGGTATTAATTTGGAATGGGTATTTTCCATTTGTGTAATTAATTAAGAATTAGTTAATCTTCTTGTTTGGATAATAATTATGCGTAAATGCGTAGTTAGTTAAATTAGGTGGGTTTTTGTTTGTTTAGGACTTTGATGGGTTTGTCAAGAAGGGCGATCTTCCCGGTTATGCTGTAAGTCTCTTAATACTGCCATCTTTCTATTTGGTGTCACATTGCATAAACCTGCAATTTTCGACTTCTAGAATTAACGTAGCGGGGTGGTTGTGGACCTTGTGGTGTTGGTGCAGCTGTTAAATTTGTTATGCAGCAAAGTTTATCAATAAACTTCTTTTCTCGGAATGTATCTGGGTTGGGAAAATTTAACAATTAGGATTGCTGCACCGGTTTCCTTCGGTGTTATTTCATTCCTGGTCTCTCTGCTGATGTTTTATTTTTAGAGTGTAAGTCACCTATCTGCTTTTCCACAATTGTAGTTATTCACTTTCTTTCTTCTCCCTCTTCCCTGTGTATTTTGTAGATTCTAAATACACCAAAAGGTCCTATCACAGTGGAACTTTTCAAGGATGGTTCTCCAGAGGTTGTGGATAGATTTATTGACTTATGGTGAGTATTCGACATCACATGTATCTTGCATACATACTTGCTGTAGTAATATTAAATCATGTCTATTTGAAGCTATTTCTCTACAGGGTAAGAGAATAAAGTTAAAATTATGGGAGAAAAGATTTGGATGACATAACATACATTGAACTCAATATCATGTTTCCGTACAAGTGCCTCCACATAGCTTCCCAAACCAGCAGCTGATGATAGCAAAGAAATCAGCCCCTTCCCCATTCAGTTTGTTTAGATCATAAAAGGATATACATGTTGACAGATTTGAACAAATGAAATAAACAGCTATCACAATGTCTTAGTAATTCAAAATCTCAACTTGATGAAAGACAAAAATCAGTTATGTAAACCAGACCAGGATCAATGGGACCAGCAGTTGTCAGTGTTAGCCTTTGTCCTTCATAAATAATATCAACTTGCAAGACTCGCCCAACATCAAAAGGCTCTGGGGCATAAACTGATTTTATAGCTCCTGGTGTAGGGAAAGTTGAATGAGAAATGAATAAAGATCTTGACAGCAAATTGGTTATGGGTTGGTTGGTGACTTTGTACATAGCTGTTAGTAAAATTGCTCGCATCCAAGGGGTGTATTATTTAATATTTTTATCATCTTATAAGCCAAGGGGTATATTTTGTCGTAACTCCTTTGTAAATTATCAAATACACAACAACAGGTTAAAGGTTCATATAGCCTTGGTGATATGGATGCCTAGTTGACTTATATCGAGGCTAAATGTAAATAAAATTAGAACTTGGACGATTTGATATGGATGCCTTGGTAATATGGATGCCTAGGTGATATGGATGCCTAGTTGACTTTTATGCTTGGAACTACAAAGGCTAGACCAGACAACAAAGAATTTGAGCTTGTTATCACAACTGCACCAATACCAGATTTAAATGATAAGCTAATTGTATTCGGACGGGTCATCAAAGGAGAGGAAGTGGTACAGGTATAAAATTCTGTGCAGTTTGGGTACCTTATTATCATGCCTAGACTTGGATAATACCTGATGTATAATGCTTTGCATACGGTCTTCCATTCAGGCAACTAAATCCTAAAAATAGTCCCAGTTTTCCCTTAGTGCTGCATGCTTTTGTGTCATTCTCAAGCACAACCACTTCAACAGATTTCCCTTTACTTCTTTAACCCATTCGATCATTTTTTGAGTTATGTACCTGTCCTTTTGTAAAAAAAATTCCCACCTCCGTACAGAGTAAATTTGGAGAAGCACAAGCCAAAAAGCAAAGCAGTGCTGCATATAAATCCAAATTTGATAGAAGTAGGAGACAGAGTTATCACCAAAGAAAAACCAAAGGATCCAATTCCAGAAATCAAGTGGGGGTAAGTTGATTGTCTTTTCATTTGTTGTGGCATGTGTCTAGTTGAATGACTTGTATGAAGTAAATTGTTTTTGTACGGTACTTTGATCATTTAGTCTAATGAAGTTTTGATACCTTTGATTGATTACAATGTTTGGTAATCCTAGTGTCATATTACCCTTTTTTTTTTTGTTTCACTTGATGCACTTTTTTTTGTTGGCTATGAAAATGGATAAGTAGTTTCCTCATGTTTTGAAATTAAGAATGTTGGTAACCTACTTACTTACTACTTTGGCTGCTAATTGATTAGTTTCAAATGCAAGAAAGGATTAGTTTCTAATGTTATAATTTTATGGTTCAAAAAGTGTATAGATGTCGCGGTTGATCACTCGTCGTCGGAGTGTGACCAATGAGCCTCCTGCATTATCAACATCTACTGCTCCAGGCGTGAGTGCTCCATTGATTGGGGAGCCTACACCCCTTACTGAGGCTACTCCTATGGCGTCCCAGGTGCCCGTCTCATCGACATCATCAGTGTCAGTTCAGCCGCTTAGTGCACGACGGCCTCACCGACGCCGCCGCGAGCCGGAGCCTTCTGATCACACTTCCTCAGCATCCAGAGTCGAGGGTGAGGCCTCCCAGCCAGGTAGTTTTTTCTAATTCTCGATCACTACGTTGTATTTTTCTTTTATCATTTTAAAATTATTATTTTTATGATGGTGAAAATTTGCTGGAATGTGACAATGTGATGGGGGTTGTGAATTACTATTTTAAGGTTTTGGGAAATGCTATACTATTAGGGGAGGTTATGTCGAATTTTCTGTAAATTTAAGCTTATGGATTTCACCATTTAATTTTTTTTGGCCAGCTTAAAAAAACACCAGGGGGCTTAGTCGAATGTTGAAGGAGGCACAGAGCGTACGTTTGACCGGCTCCAGGATCAAGATTGAGTATGACCTGCGACATCGTGGAGCGGCTACCTCACAGCAGCATAACAGCGTCGCTAGTAGTTGTGGTGTTGTTATTAAACAAAGTTGTCCTATGCAGTGGGAGTCTTGGGCAGAAATTCCCGAGGAGACGAAGAAACTAGTGCGAGAAAACTTGTCGGTTAGTATATTAATTTTTAGCCTTTATCATTTTTTTAATTTTGTTTACAAATATGAAAAACCAAAATATATTATCTTAATATTATTAAATTTCTTACTATTATTTTATTATTTTTCATATTCGTAGGTCAATTTTGATCTTGACGACATATCTCCTGAGGTCATGGCCTACTTAGAGGAGACCTTAGCAAATCGGTACAAACATTGGAAGAACTATCTTCACACGCATTTTAAGCGATGGGATGATCCGGAGTTTGCTCGCCTACATGGTTGCCCAACCGAGTTGCAGGACCAGCCGGAGGATTGGGAGTGGCTCTGCAAACATTTTACGGACCCAAAATTTGTAGTATGTACATAATATTTTAATAATAATTTATTATTGTTTTAGTTATTTTTTTAAGCTTCCTTTATTAATTTATTTTAAATAATCGCACTAACATGTATATTATGTGTTTAACAGAAGAAATCTATTGCTGGCAAGATAGCTCGGGACTTAAAGACACTTCTCCACCATTCTGGTTCAAAGCCCTTTTCGTATAGGCTTGAGGCACGACGTCAGGTAAAAGTATATTAATTTTGAAATTTTATACAATTTATTTATTATTATTTATTAATAAAATTTTCTTAATGTTTGTTTCTTCAGGAGGGTTCTAAGTTCCCAGAGATCGACATGTTCGAGGACGTTTACGTTCGACCTGGTGATGAGATAGCTAAGCAGCTTCATGTAAGTATATGTAATTGTTATTATTCTTATATGTATGAATCGTTCAAATATTATTTATATTATGTTATTAAACATTATATGTTTTTTCCTTTATTATTACAGGATGCTATGGTGGAACAGCGCACTACTGTTCTCCAAGAAGCAACATCACAACTTCCCCCGGAGACCTCGATCGAGGACACCACGATACCCGAGGATGCAGGTTTTCATATCCTGACTAATGTCATGGATCAAAACTTCGGTCGTCGTCCTGGCAAAGTTGTTCGGGGTATGGGAAAAGCGCGAGTTCGTGAGACGGGTGCCTCTTCTTCCAGATCAAACACAGGAGAGGTCAGTGTGACAACCCTAAAGGGTCAGCTTGCGGTCCAGAGTGAGCAAATGAGGGCCCGGGACGAGCAGATGAGGGCCCTAGAGCGAGCAGATTAAGGCCCAGGGCGAGCAGGTGAAGGCCTATGCCGGACACATGAGAGACCTTGTACGAGCCATACAGATGTCCGGCCTCCAAATCTCACTACCAGTACCTGATCTTCCTACACCTTCGACTTCTGAGCCACTTTGCCCTACCGATACCTAGTAGCTTGATGTATCAAACCTAAAAGCCTACTTGTAGTTTTTTCTTATTTTTTTGTTTGGACATTTTGTATGTATATTTTCATATATTTATAACTAAATACTTTTCGTTGGTTAATTAATTATCGTTTAGAGTTTAATTAAGATATTTATTAAAAATTAAAAAAATATTTTTTTTGACCAAAAAAAAAAAAAAAAAAAGAGGTTTGCGCGACGTAGGTAGAATCTTTCTTCGCGCCAACCTCTTTGCGCGACACCAGCTCTACGTCGCGCAAAGTCTTTGCGCGCGCACGAACGTCGCGCAAACCACTCGCGCACGTAAGGCTGCGTCGCGCGAGCGGTGGCGCGAGGTAGAATCTTCGTCGCAACAAAGTGTTTGCGCGACGTAGGGGATGGGCGCAAAATTTTGCGACGTAGTACGGCGGAAGCCACTTTCGCGACGTAGGGGGAACTTCGGCGCCACCCCCTGTCACTGCCTTGCGCGACGGTAGTGCGGAGAAGGTGCGTTGAGCTAAGTTTTGCGCGACGATTTTTGACTTTGCGCGACGAAGAACCTGCGTCGCGCAAAGTGTTTTTTGTACTAGTAGGATCTTCGGAATCCTCACAAAGATGATCCGTAGAGGACACTGGAATATATTTTTTGAAGGGACAAAATAAAAAGGAAAACTGACGAAAAATTCTTAAAAACTTTTAGTTTTAATGAAAATGACAAAATAAAGGTGTAAGTAAATAGTATCATGAGTGACTTTTCAAAGTAAAAATGTCCTTAACGATAAAAATGAACAATACCAAAAATTTTCATTTGGTAAGAAAATGACAAGATAGGTAAATTCTTTTATAGTGCTCTTTCAAATTATTATTGTCTTTTAAATATAGGTAAATTATTTTATAGTGCTCTTTCAAATTTTCATTTGGTAAGAAAATGACAAGATTAAATTAAAATTGTCTAATTTTATGAAAATTTAAAAAACAATTACAAACTCTTAAGGAAAGTATAACATTATTAGTTCTTTTTTTCCTTAACATACAATTTGTTTTGATATATTAATGCAATGATTTTAAACATTAATACATTTCTTTTTATTAATTTCTCCCTTCAAATTTGCATAGAATTAAATGTCTACATCAAAACGGTAATTAGGGGTATTTTAGGCATCTGAAAAATGAAAAATGTGTAAAGGCAAACAAAATTAATGAATTTACTTATGTGGAGCCTAGTCATTGGGTTTTATTCAGATAAAAAGACTATGTCGGGTTTTATGTAAAGAAACTTGAGTTTCACGGGCTAAAGTCATATTTTCAGTTTTATTTATTTTATTTTTTGAATATTAATGAAATATTTTTGGTATTGTTCATTTTTATCGTTAAGGACATTTTTACTTTAAAAAGTCACTCATGATACTATTTACTTACACCTTTATTTTGTCATTTTCATTAAAACTAAAAGTTTTTAAGAATTTTTCGTCAGTTTTCCTTTTTATTTTGTCCCTTCAAAAAATATATTCCAGTGTCCTCTACGGATCATCTTTGTGAGGATTCCGAAGATCCTTGAATCATATCGTATATCGTGTGGTCAGTTTTCATCAACTGTTTGTGTTACAGGAGGCTTTTAAGGAACTAAATAAGCCTCGGGAAACTAAAACACAAGCTGCTGAGCTGAAGTTTGCGGGCAAGATCATGAGATGGGAAAGACCTAAGTATGTGACGTTAAAAGTGAACTGTGATGCAGCCTGGAATCAAAAGTAAAAAGGGGGTGGAATACGATGGGTAATCTGGGATTTTGCTGGCATTATGCACTCTGCTGGCGGTGCTGGGAACCTGTACTTTCAAAATGCAGCAATGGCGAAGGTCACTACAGTTAGGGCAGCGCTGCAGGAATGTGTTGTGAGAGGCATTCAACCCATTGAGACTGAAACAAATGCGAAGGTTTTAGTGCAGATTTTTAAAAAGGATATGGATACTGATGCTATGTTGGAAGGTTTGATTCATGATGTTTGGAGGATTGCCCAATCCTTGCAGTTTGTTGTATTCTAGTACTCCCACAGAGAAAGCAATCAAGCTGCGCATGCTATAGCATCCTTTGTTTCTAAACATGGGGGAGATCATTCATGGAATTGTATTGGTTCGGATTTTATCTTCCATATTTTGGTGGAAGATGTAAACATTTCTCTTAGAAATCTAACAAAATTCATCTCTGAGTAAAAAAACAATATTAGTAATTAAATAATATGTTGTGGCTTTAGTAAACAATGATGACCTACTTATACAATACATTTGTTACTACTTTTACTACAAAATTATTTATTTGTAACCGAACGAAAGAAATTGACCACGATATTATAATTTAAAGAATACAATTGAAAGAATATTTTGAGGTCTCTTCCGAACAACTTCTAACATTTGGGCAAATCAAGTGGTGGTGGAGGCAAAGTAGACTCTAGCGTCGGTCCATTTTCAACCTCAAAGGCCATTCCCAGCCCCCATGGCAGATGCACGTCCAAATGACAGTGCATGTACCATATACCTGAAACAACAGTTTAAAACAAACCGTCATAAATTAATTGTTTATAATACATTAAAATACAATGAAACTTAATTAAACAAATGATTAAGAAAACTAACCAGGATTATTTGCTTGAAACCTAATCACAGCCCATCCTCCGACCGGCACACCAATTGTGTTACGTATTTGTGGATTAACGAAGTTAAACTTTTTGGGGTCATTAATTGGGTCGTAATTTCCAAACCCTTGTGCCAACACGTGGAAATTGAAGCCGTGGAGATGCATCGGGTGGTTCTCGATGGCCAAAAACGCTGTGTTCTGAAGCACCACCTCCACTGTTGAATTGAATTTCAGCGTCTTGACCTTGGTCGATTTTGGCGCGTATATCAGTGATAGGTCGAGGCTGATGTTTGTGTCCGTGTAGTCAAATTTGACTGGAGGCTCGTCAGGAAAGTCTCTGGTGTAAACCCCGCTCACATTGTGAAACTGTGCTTCCAACATGGATGTATTACTTGGGAGCACAAATGACTCGTTGTTCATGCTTGCGGATAGTCGGTTATTGAATAGACCTTGACATGTGGCATTTTCTGGACACATCTCCAAGTTGACGCCGATTGTCACGAACATGTGCTCGTCCACCTTGAGTGGGACTGGGACCCATTGGGGCCCACCGGCGAGGCTGGTAAGATTGGTGAGGAACTTATGGGCCAATGGCGTGTCGTGAGGGTTGGGCATTGGGGGCATAATGGGGGTTGATGAATTGGAGCCCTTGTAGATAATGATGCCTCTGGTGGTTGAGTTATCAAAGTCGATGGTGTCACTAGCGCTAGCGTATGGAGTGGCGGCCATGTAATAAGATCCAATAGGTTGATTGAATTTGACAAGAACGTCTGTGGTCTGACCGGGTCCGGTAACCACCACATCGGTGACATAAGGAGTGGTGTAGGTAGCGTCGATGGCGACAACTGTCATCTTGTGATTGGCTATCTTGAAGAAGAGCTGGGTATTGAGTCCAGCGTTAATTAAGCGTAGCAGGTAGGTCTTTCCTCTCACCACACTTAACTGATATGATTCTGATAATTTGACTGTCACTTCGTTAATACTCATCATGCAAAAATAACACATAAACTAAATCAATAAATTTACGTGTATGCATGCATAGTTACGTACGATTTTGAGAGCAGTCATAAAGATCACCGGGAAGTCCATTGATGGTGTAAGCATTTGAAATGTTAGGAGCAATTCCTTTAGATAGGCCTTCTTCCTCAATGTCGACCACATTGCCATTGTACCACTCTCCTGCAATTCCATCAAACAGGTAATATATAATTAGTCATAAAAAAAGTTGTTAAAAAAGTTGTTAAAAAAATTATTATTCATCAAAATTATTGTTTAAAGTACATATTACAATTAACGTTAAGTAAGTTGAATGGTATAGTTTAATCGTTAATTACCTAACAAGATGGGAACTTCTTTGGCGGGCTTGGGGAAGGGGAAGGATCGACCGGCTTTCGGGTGGATTATGAGCGCTCCGTGGACAGTTGCACGAAGCCACGAAATGTGGGCATGCCACCAAAGGGTGCCTTCTTGTCCAGTGATATTAAATTTGTAAGTATAACTTTGTCCGGGGCGTATAGGGCATTGAGTTACATATGTAGGCCCATCCGCCCATGGACTCAGAAGTTGAAAGATTCCATGCCTGCATTAAGAAAGAAACTATACAATGTGAACAAAAGATTCCATGCCTGTATTAAGAAAGAAACTATACAACATGAAGAAAACATTACTCAACATTCCCCTTGGGGGTTGTTAAATGATTTTGGATAATTGGTCTTTACCAGTGAATACTAATGTTATAGGGAGACTGGTTTAAAACGTGGACGATAAGTGTGTCTCCATCTCGTGCATATATGGTTGGTCCTGGATAACTCTCATTTACTACAGTAATCGATTGATTTCGGCACAGTCGGCTAACAGTTAGGTTGTTCACCTGAAAACAATTGTAATTAAAAAAAATATATCATAACTACTATTATTCAAAGGAAACATTCAAATAATTGGTGAGGAAATATGCATGATAAAATAAGGCTGCCAAAGGGCTTGTGCAAAATTGTTTTAAAAAACCGCTTCTATGATCCAAAAATACATTTTTTTTGGTCAAATTGACTCAGAAGTGTTTTTGAACATTATAATGTGTTTCAGCCTAGAAACATTAATGAGCATACCCAAAATTGAGGCAAGACTTACATTAAAAGAATGCTCAACAATTGCACCAGAGGCTACTGAGGAAGCCAATAGGGCTAGAGCACAAGCTAGCACAAAGGCTAAGCGTGCCATATGGGGAACAAATTAAAAAGAGCTAGCTCAAAGGGGAAATGAGAAGTTTGAGAATCGTCTATTGTTATGGAATATTGTATTTTTCTTGTGATATATCAGAGGTCGATATATGCTATGTTTATATAGGCATTTGGAAAGTAGTTGCCAACCCATTATATCCACACTTACGTGGAAAATTAGCCAATAAATTTGCATTTGTTTTGACAAGGACTTTGAAATGTCTAAGATAAAGGCATATAAAATGAGTTTGGTATCATATATGCAGTTAACAGTTTGATTAAATTGGGCATCCGTTAGAGAATGCTTGCATAGAGATATGAACACAAGTCAGAAACTTTGTTCTTCAAAAACCAACCATGTTGAATAACATCGATCAATTTGACCGTGTCCAAAACTACACTTTACAGTCTGACGAATTTTAAGAAAAGGGAACTCCCGCGGTGTACTAGAAGAACACGTTTAGAGTTGAATATTTCTGAATGTAAACCTAGTTCGGAAGAACGTTGACATTACAAATATTAAGTAAGTGGAAAAGGTCGCGAGCCATTTGTGTAAATGTAATTTTCTTTTTTGTATTTAATTTAGGAGGAATTCTCAGTACTTCAGAAATGAAAAGGTTTATGCTTAGATAAGTCCCGAGTACTCTATACAAAATTTATTTCTTGATCGTACACTCTATTCTGTCGCTCCTTACATTCCGTGCTCATCCCATTCTGTCAACATGATCAAATAATATACGTTACCTGCTGATGTGTCAGGGATTAAATTTGTTAATTTGTTCAGCTTTTTTTTTTTTTTTTTTTGACAATTAGGACGTCTTAAACCCCAAAGATTGTCATTACCCATAATAGAATATATATATATATATATATATATAACTATTTTGTTTTTTTTTAAGGAAAACTAACGAAAAGTACAAAAAAAACTTTAATACCAATGAAAAATAACAAATAAATGTGTAATTAGAGGGTTAGAATGATAATTTTATGAAATTTTAGTTAACAATTAGAGTTATATTAATACGTAGATTAGATGTAGGGGTGGGATACTATATTGTTTACTTAATTACATGTACATGATGAGTTTTGTTTTTTTATCAACCAATATGATATGGGAAATGTATATTGTATATTTGGAGTATGAAATAATAAACAACAGATAGAAAACAGAGAAAGTAATATATATGCATGTGGAAATAATTAATTAAAGAGATCTGATATTCACACATCTTTTTTTACTTCTCACATATTTTTTTAATTTTCAACTATTGAATTGGATTAATTGAAAAAGATTAAATAACAAAAATTAACAAGTAGTGTGTATAAAGTAAAAAAATTGTGTGTGGATAACACATCCCTTAATTAAATTCATTTTACGGAGGTGCAGATAACAATTATAAAATTTGTTTCAGTATATTGAGTAACAATGATTTGATATTTGTTTCTTGGAGAAGGAGATAAATCTCGAAGACTTTTCAATAAGTTGACAAGATCTCATTGACTTTCAAATAATCTGACAAGATCTCATGATCAATTCGCCGTTGCTTCGAATCCCACCCATCGCAGCTGACCGTTCGATGAAACCCTAAACCACTACTCGTGCATTCCAACTTTGACCGATTAAAATCCCAGAAATTGAACCAAATTTCTGGAAGGGGTTGTATTGTGTGGTGGTAGACATAAATGGTCACATTACAGATATAGTCAACCTTATTTTGATCCTCAGGTCATACTCAAATTCGTTATTAGTTTGTTAATTAAAACGATATTCATTAGATTAACCCATAACACCAAACTGCCACAGTCACCACCTTTGATAATGCAGGGACATTCGAAAATTACTGTTTTAATTTGGTCAACTAAAGTTAGGTTTAAGAAATTTTTCAATGGAATTAACAATTTCGAGAGGTGTATTCAATTAAGAATTTAAAATACTTCAATGGATTTTTATGGAGTTTAATTGATTTGTAGAGATTCCATATAAAATTTTAATTAAATTCCCTCGAAATCTCATAGGGAGAGGTGAGATTTGTGGATGCTTAAAATACATTACAAAATCTCTCCAATTCCCTCTAATTCCTCAACTTTCTAAAATTCTTTAAAATCAATTTCTAATTGAATACACTCAAATTTCTATGGATTTTAATAAACTATCTTAAAATTCTAATTGAATACATCTTGAATTTCAAATAATCACTTAAAATCCTAATTGAATACCCTTAAATTCATTAAAAAAAAATAAAATCTCTCAAAACCCCAATTGAATACATCCTCTTCGTTTGTCCTTGTTCAATGAAACTACTGGTATTAAAAGAAAGGTAATTACTCTCTCAATCCCCGTTGTCGCCTCCTCATTTATGTATATCGACTTTACGTGGTTGATTTGGTTAGAAATTGTTATATATATCCAGACAAAGAAAAGTACTGTAAGGCCACTAAAAATTCGCACACGTAAAAGGCCTTTGATCGAGTCTTCTATAGCTGGTGGGGAAAGGTAGCTGGTCTTCTAAACTTTTAACAATTTTATATTCAAGAGATTAAATAATAATAAAATGTGCCCAATATATATGATGATACATACAAAATAAAATACCTATAAAATATATGGTATTTGCTCATCATAAATTTACATATAGGTAGATTAATTAGTATAATATATTTGATCATAACGTATAGTAGTACTATATATATATATATATATATATATGTAAACTATATATATTGAGCTTATGGTAGTACTATATACATTTGAACGTATATATGTATATATATGTGTGTGTTAGGTGTAATAATATGCAATAAATTATTTGTTCATTGTAATTAAGGTGAGTAATAATATTTATTGATTTATTTTGAATATTGTGGTACAAGTTGTAAATATTTTGTATTAATAGGTCAATTACTTTCCTACATGGCAATCACTTTTAAATTTGGGTTTTATTTGGATGTTTATAATTAGGTGGGTTTTTATATAGGAAATAAAAGTTGCAAGGGAAATATGACTTTAGCCCCTGAAACTCAAGTTTCTTTACATAAAACCCGACATAGTCTTTTTATCTGAATAAAACCCAATGACTAGGCTCCACATAAGTAAATTCATTAATTTTGTTTGCCTTTACACATTTTTCATTTTTCAGATGCCTAAAATACCCCTAATTACCGTTTTGATGTAGACATTTAATTCTATGCAAATTTGAAGGGAGAAATTAATAAAAAGAAATGTATTAATGTTTAAAATCATTGCATTAATATATCAAAACAAATTGTATGTTAAGGAAAAAAAGAACTAATAATGTTATACTTTCCTTAAGAGTTTGTAATTGTTTTTTAAATTTTCATAAAATTAGACAATTTTAATTTAATCTTGTCATTTTCTTACCAAATGAAAATTTGAAAGAGCACTATAAAAGAATTTACCTATATTTAAAAAATATAGGTAAATTATTTGGACATGTGTATTAGTAATAAATTTGCCCTGTATATGTAATGATACATGCAAAATAATTTACTCCAGGGTACCCTCTTGGATTATTATATGTCGTCTTCTTGACATTAATAAAGTCGCTATCGTTTCAACTCAAAAAAAAAAAAATTACTTATAGAATAAAAAATGTTATTTGATTCAAAATAAATTTATCTATATTTTATATGATAATTTAGGTAAATTTTTGCACACATATATATTAGTAGTAAAATATGCTCAATATATATAATAATGCATGAAAATAATTCACCAACAAATAAAGGAAATTTGATTAAAAATTAATATATCTACTACTTTTTGTTTATGAATTTCAATTTCTTTTTTTATATTACAAACATAATGTACCTACAATATAATTCACCTATTGTTTAATCTTATAAGAAAATAATGTATCTACTATTTTATTTTATTTATTTTTTGTTGAATATGTACTGTTTTATTTTAATGGAGATAATTTGTCTTGGTTTAATTTTTACGAAATTATTTAGGCACTGTTTAACTTTCCCAAAATAATGGAACTACTATTTTAATTTACCTACAAAATAAATACTATTTGATTCAAAATTAATTTACTTATATTTTAAATATAAATATAGATAAATTATTTTTCACAAGCATATATGATAACAAACAAAAAATGCCTAATGTATGTAATAATCTAGGTAAAATAATTTACCTACAACATAAAAGAATATTAATTGGTTTTTTGTTGTTTTATAAAACAATATTATTATTTGATGCAAAATAACTGATTGTACAAAAGATTTTTCTTTCCAAACGAAAAATGTGCCCATAAATTGTTTATGAACAAGGCTAAATTTATATATATATATATATATATATATATATATATATTCCGAATATTTATCATACAAGAAAGGTAAAATTTCCATATGGGGTTAATTGCTAATCATAATTAGGGTGGGTAATAATATTTATTGACATAACTAGAGTTTTGTGGCATAAGTTGTAAATATGTGATAATAATTTGTTACATATTTGTCTACATGGTACTCTATTTGAAATTTGGGTTTTATTTGGAAGTTTAATATTATGTGGGTTTTTGCTTGGAAAATAAGAGTTTCAAGGGCCTTTTTCTAAAGAACCCTTTTTTTTTTTTTTATCCAAATTAGGAACTTCAGACATCGGTTCCATTCCATTGGTTGGAGATGGGTTCCCGTCAAGCAAATTCTGCAGCAGATTGGGTTGCATCTCATTGTACAAGAAGGATGTGTATGGAAGTTTGGGTCATTCGACCCCCATTCTCTCTAGTTCACATTCTTTTAAAAGACGGGCTTCCTTATCCTCCCTAATTTCCCCCCAATCAGCTGAGGTTGGGTTGTGTTTCAAATTGGACTTTAGTTTTGCTTATCATGCTCTGTCCCCTGCCCTATCTTGGCCATGTCGGGGGTCATATTATATTTGGTCATCCCCGTTACTATTTAGCTATGCTGGTTTTTATGTTTTCTTTCTAGTTGTTGTTAGCCTCAATACGTTCATGTAATATTAAAACACCATTGTACTAACCATGTGAAGACATCCTTCAATGCACAGCAAGCACTGGAATAGTAGCGAGCACACCAAGACCTAGAACTCGAGGAAAGCCTTATGCACACT